CGGGGGGGGGGGGGCGCCCCGTCCCCCCCCCCCCCGGGACGAGCTTCCAGCCCCTCTCACCAGCAGAGCCCTCGCTGTGTCCGTCCTGCCGATCCCGCTCCGGCTCCTCACACGCACCCAGTAGCAGCATCCGCAGGTCTGGGGGCAGAGACCAGCCACTGGGTGAGGCCACACAGCACCCCCTACAGGCACCCCGGGAGCCACACACACAGCGCCCCCTACAGGCACCCCAGGATCCACACACCACACCCCAGACTTCACCCCCTAAGGGCACCCTGGGATTCACCCCCACACACATACAGCACCCCCAATAGGCACCCCGGGATTCACACACACCCCCACAGAGCTCCCTAAAGGCAACCCAGGATTCACACACACACACACACACAGCGCCCCCTACAGGCAACCCAGGATTCACCCTCCCCACACACAATGCCCTTATAGGCACTCTGGGATTCACACACACACACACACAGCATCCCATACAGGCACCTTGGGATTCACCCCACACACACAGCGCCCTCTACAGGCACCCCAGGATTCACACACACACACACACACAGTGCCCCCTATGGGCGGTCTGGGATTCACACACACACACACACACATAGTGCCCCCTACAGGCACCCCAAGATTTACCCACACACACAGCGCCCCCTATAGGCACCCTGGGATTCACCCCACACGCACAAACACACACAGCACTCCCTATGGGCACTTCAGGATCCCCCTCCAAACACAGCGCCCCCTATAGGCATCCCGGAATCCCCCATAAACACACAGACAGTGCCCCCTACAGGCACCCTGGAATTCACCCCCACACACACACACACCATGCCCCCTACAGGCTCCAGGGGATTCACACACACACACACAGTGCCCCCTACAGGCACCTTGGGATCCCATACACACAGTGCCCCCTACAGGCACCCCGGGACCTCACCCCCCACCACACACACGCACAACGCCCCCTACAGGCTCCATGGGATTCACACACACACACACACACACACACACAGTGCCCCTTATAGGCACCCTGAGATCCCAGACACACGCAGATCCTGGGGGGGAAGACTGACCCCGAGCCCCCCCCACCCAGGGACCCCACAATCCCTGAGCCCATCACCTGTTACGAGCCGCGCAGCTCCAGGGCTCAGCGGGGCGCTGTCCTCCTCCGTGTTCTCGTAACACTCGCTGTCTGCCAACACAGGGGCAGGTCCCTGTCAGCAGCAGCCCCTGCCTGCTCCCCTCCGATGGGCTTGTGGGGCAGGGGCACCCTACTGGGCGGGGGAGGGCAAGCCCCTGGACTGCCTGGAGTGACCAGGGATCCCATTACCTGGGGCCATAGGCCAGTGTCACCAGGGGAGCCGTTACCGGGGTGATGAATGGGTTGCCAGGGGTGTTGTTACCAGGGCGATGCTCTGGACCCTGGGAAACCATTGCCCTGGGCGCGCAGATCCCCACCCACCCCCAAACCCCAGGGTGATGGGCCCCTCCCACCCTGGGGGATGCCTGGGAGTGGGGTGTGACCTCAGGGCAGCCCCCCGCCAGCACCCCACACTGTTACCTTCAGAGACCTGGTCTTCGGCCCCGGGGCTCTGGCGAGCATTTGTGTAGTGGGCAGCGTCTGGGGACCGGGAGGAGGGAGACCAGTAAGTGAGAGATACAGGGAACTGGGGGTGCAGGGCAGGGGCTCTCTCAGCCCAGGGGAGACCCCCCGAAACTCCACACTCAGCCCTGCACCCTGCCACACCACAGCCTCACCCCCCCCCCGAGACCCTGCTCTCAGCCCTGCCCCCCCATTCCCCAGCCAGGACCCCGCTCTCAGCTTTACCCCCCCATCCAAGTGCCCCCATTACCTGAAGTCCAGTTGCCTCCTGCTCTGTTCTCCTCCAGACTGTTCTCGTAGCAGGCGCCGTCTGGGGGAAGGATGGGAGGGCGTCAGGGGAGCGGATGCCCCTAAACAGGCCCTGAGCTTCGCCCCCTGTGGAGATCGCAGGCCCCAATGCAGACTAGGGCCAGAAAGACTGAGGAAGTGAGGAATGGGATACGGGGCCTTTCCCCTCTAGGGGGCGCCAGCTCCCACCCAGCCCCAGGGCAGGGACTGGCTGGCTCAGGGGGCAGGGAATGGGACACGGGGCCGTTCCCCTTTAGGGGACGCCAGCTCCCATCTGGCCCCAGGGCAGGGACTGGCTGGCTCAGGGGAGTAGGGAATGGGACACGGGGCCGTTCCCCTTTAGGGGGCGCCAGCTCCCGTACGGCCCCAGGGCAGGGACTGGCTGGCTCAGGGGGGTCAGTCCCGTCTCATCCCCTGTGCAGTGGGTGGTGCAGGGTGAGGGTGGGGGAGCCGGGGGTGGTTTTAGGGGGGCTGTTACCGCTGGACCCTTTGTCCCCCATGCACAGTTTCATGTCCCCATTGGTGTTTTCATAGCCATCGCCATCTGGAGCCAGGAGAGAAAAACAGAGCAGGTGACCCCAAACCATGGCCCTGGGGTGGGGGGGCAGCCCCACCCCTTCCCATCACCCTTCCCCATGCCCCCCATCCTGTCCCCTCCCAGCGCCCCCCTCCACCCCATCGCTGCCCTGTCATGCCCCCAACCCCCCTCTCTAACCCCAGCTCCCCGCCTCTCCTGCCCCCCACTCACCCTCGGGTGCTGGTTCTTCCTCACTGTCCGGGTGCTCGTACTCCTCCTCATCTGTGGGGAGAGGGGGTGTCAATGTGGGTCTTGTGCCCCCCAGTCCCTTTACTCTGGTCCCTCCCTGTGCTGAGCTGCCATCTCTCGCTCCATAGGGCCCCCTGGGGGGCAAGGATCCCCCTCCCCCATCTGTCCTTGTAGTCCCCCTGCCCCTCCCACCCACTGCACCCCATGCCAATCACTCCCCTGTCTGGCCATCACCCCATTTTGTGGCCCATGACCCCCCTTCCTGGCTCTTCCTGATTGTGGCTGGCCCCCATTGCTGCCCCCATCCCGTCTGGGCCCCCATTACCCCCCCTTTCTCCCACTGTGTGCCCCTGCCCCCTCAGTACCCCTCAACCATTCATCTGGCTGTAGCCCCATCACAGCCTGTGACATTCTATACCTTGGGGGAGCGTCCTGTAACCCCCATATTCCTCATTTTTATCTAATTGTGATCTCACATAGAAAGCAGGCCTTGTAAGGTATCAAGGGAAAGGTTATGATCTGCTGAGAGTCATTTCTCTATCCATAGATGTGTATCTTTAGTGCATAGGAAGTTATGAGATTGTGTTGTGTGGTTGTCATAGAATCATAGAATATCAGGGTTGGAAGGGACCTCAGGTCATCTAGTCCCACCCCCTGCTCAAAGCAGGACCAATTCCCAACTAAATCATCCCAGCCAGGGCTTTGTCAAACCTGACCTTAAAAACCTCTAAGGAAGGAGATTCCACCACCTCCCTAGGGAACCCATTCCCGTGCTTCACCACCCTCCTAGTGAAAAAGTTTTTCCTAATATCCAACCTAGACCTCCCCCACTGCAACTTGAGACCATTACTCCTTGTTCTGTCATCAGGTACCACTGAGAATGTGCTGTGAGTTGGGGAATCAGCCAGATATTGGCTCCCCAGAGGCAACAGCAAGGAAAGTAACCAACACCTGGGCAGGGTGTGAAACAGCCCATCACCAGCCATTGTCTAGCAAGGGAGCTACAACGCAATGACTCACCTGCATGAGGCCCCACCAGGGGAATTGCTCAGCCTGGCCTGGGGACTCAGCAACGCCCCCAGACAGGCCTGGCCTTGTGTGTCCCAAGCCCATGGACTGAGGGTATGAACCAGACACAGGGGCCCCACGCTGGGCCTTTCTCCTCCCCCCACCTACGCTGCAAGCAACAAGGACACTCTGAAGACCCCAACTGAGGGTGAAATCTGTGTACTAGGAACTGCAATATCCAGTGAAGTGAGAAAAACTGCGTAATCTAGATGTTGCACAGTCTAATAGGGTTGAGAGTTTAGACTGTGACCTTATATTTTATTTCTTTTGGTAACTAACTCTGCCTATCACTTAATCAGGGCCGGCTCTAGGCACCAGCATTCCAAGCATGTGCTTGGGGCAGCAAAAAACCTGGAGCCGGCCCTGCACTTAATATCACTTAAAATCTATCTTTTGTAGTCAATACACTTGTTTAACTGCTTATCTTTCCCAGTGAGTTTGTGTGAAGGATTTAGTAAATCTGCTCAGATTTACAAAGGCTGGGGAACCAATTAATAAATTTGCATTGCTCGTCTTGAGCAGCAAGACGATATATTCCTGAGGTACAAGGCTGGGAGCTGGGAAGATTTGGCAGGTGCCTTTCTCTGCGAGATTCATGAGTGGCTCTGGGAGCATTAATGCAAGTTAGCTGGGTGTGGGGCTCCACATGCTGTTGTGCTGAGTGATCACAGTGCCTGGAGGGGGTTTGCTGCTGGTCACTAGCAAGACATTGTGAGAGACAGCCCAGGCTGGAGACAGTTCAGGGTGCACAGTGGTCCCACGGTCCCAGGCTGCACCCCGAGGATCCCGTCACACACCCCACCCCAATATGTGCCCCCCATCACTCCCATCCTCCCAGTCTGTTCCCCTGCCCCCTCTCTGCACCCCACTCCTGCAGTGCTTGGAGAGCCGGGGGGCGAGGGGGGGCTGGGTTGGGGTCACCCCGGGGGGGTCTGATACTCACCCTCTGACTCGACAGTACTGATGGGCCCCTCTGCAGGCAGTGGCCGCCCCTGCCCTCTTGCACCCGGTGCCACGTTCTCATAGGGCACTGCATCCGTCTGCCTTACACCTGGGAACACCAGAAGACGCACAGTGAGGGAAGGGTGGCATGGACGGGGGAGTCACACCAGCTGGCCTGGGCAGGAGCAGGGAGAAGGGGGTCAATGCAGCCAGATGTGGCAACTGGCCATCCCTGGGATCGAGCCCCACAAGCTCTGGAGTTGGATTGAAGCAGGGCATCAGCACGCCCCTCCCTGGGCTGACTATGAGGATGCGGCTCCCTGGGTGACTGGAGTGAGGGTACACAAGGCGAGGGGGGCTCTGCATTAAGACAATGCCTGTGATTCAGTCGCATGCTTCAGGGCTGTGGCCTGTCACTTGCAGGGTCAGGAAGGAACTTGTCCCCCTTTGGCTGGCTGGATTCTCAGTTTTATTTCCCCTTCCTCTGAAGCACCAGGGACTGGCCCCACTGGGGAGGGGACACCGGGCGGGCAGGCTCTGAGGTGGGTCCCGACACACTTGGCTGGTGGGGCTGGCTCCTGTGCTCAGAGTGACGCTCATGGCCCTTTGCAGGGTCAGGAAAGATTCTTTCCCCAGGTCAGATTGGCTGGGACACTGGGGGACCATGGGCTGCTGCAGGCGTTGGGGGCACCCCAGGCTCCCCCATTCTCTGCCTGGGGCCACAACAGCTCAGCCTCCTTGGGACTAAACCACTTCAGTGCAACGGGTCCATATGGGGGGGGGGGTTACAATGGGCTGTGATACGCAGGGGGTCAGGCTGATCCAATAGCCTCTTTGGGCCTTGATCGCTATGAAAATATGGGGGGGGCACTCACCTGGGGGGCAGAGTGTTCCTGTAGAGAGTGGGGAAGCAGGGGGGCAATAGGGTGTGGGGGACAGTCACCAGCTGTGTTTGAAGGGTCAGACTGTTCTTGTGGCAGGCAGGGTGTGTGTTGGGGGGCAAAAGGAGCCATTGGGGTGTTGGGGGACCCAGTGGAGGCAGGGGCCATGCACTGGGGGTGTCTGCTGGGGGCAGGATGTTCCTGTGGGGGGCAGAGGCTGGGGGTGCTGGGTAGAAGGTGTTGGGAGCAAT